CTGGGCCAAATAAAACAACCTTTAAAGACCTGCCCTGGATCCCTGTGGTCCTTTCCCCTAACTGTATCACAGCTCACACAGCCCTGGCTGACCTAGAAGCCTTAGCAATGAGGGCACAGGCCTGCACTCAGGGCTAGTGCGGTACACCCCCACCATGCCTTAGCTTCAGCTGGCCCCAGATCCTTTAACAGCGTTGTCTGCTTGGGAAACACACACACACACACACACACACACACACACACACACACAGTCTTAGCAAAGGTCTGATTGAGTTCTGGCTGCTGTTCAAACTCCCCAAAGGTGTGCTTATCCATCAGAAACACTCCTTTTGAAATGTGTGCCGAAGCGAGATCTCCACTCAACAGCTACATAAATTAACAAGATGGAAGCTATGTCTCCACACCTTCTAGACCTAAGGGGTTAGAAGGAAAGCGAACTAGGGCCTGAGGGGAGGGGGGAGAATTGGCTTTCACCCCGTTTCCAAAATATCCCTAAGAGATGGAAAAGTAGGTATGTCACAGTTGGCACATGCTATTGTCTCCAAATGTGTGAAGAAACTTTTCTCTTTTTTTGTCTTTTTCTGCCAGTACCATTTTCTTTACCCACCCTTCCCAGGAGACTGACGGTTTCCATTCCTTGGAGACTGGTAACATTCCAGGACAGAGCTGGCTGGCACAGAGTTGGGCACAGGGATCAGTTAACTGAAATAAATGAAGACTTTCAACTTCACCTTCTGATGTTTATTGCTTCGTCATCAGACAACTTCTTTGCTTTGGCTGTATATGGATTTTTTTTTTTTTTTTTTTTGACGGTGAAAAAGTGTTTCATTTCTTCTGAGACAATCTCGGCCAACAGGCAGCTTCTTTTCTGACTTACATTATTTGCCTATTACAGAATCATGCCATGCTCCCCCTGGGACAGGACCCTGGTGCGGTGGTGGCTGTTCCCCCTGATGCTGTTGCCCCTGCCATCTCCCAGCAGGCAGCTGTGGGGATTTTATTCCCATTTGCCTTTGCTCCTCCTCCCCACAATATACTCCCTCAGTTTCCTGTCAATTGTCCTGATTTCTCCACCACTTGCCAAAATATCACCCCTGATATCAAAATATCACTTTTTTAGAACAGTACGAGCTGAGCAGTGGTGGTGCATGCCTTTAATCCCATCACTCGGGAGGCAGAGGCAGGTGGATCTCTGTGAGTTCGAGGCCAGCCTGGGCAACACAGAGAAAGCGTGTCTTGCACCACCTAAGTATAATGTCCTTTCCAACACAGCAAGTGAGCCTATGGAAGCCCATTTCTGTCTTATTCCTCTTCCCTTAGGGATAACCACTGAGCTTGCACTTGTATAGTGTGACAAAAAGTCCAGCCTCCTCTTTGATTCAGGGTTCGTCTCATTGGAAAGTGGGGTTCACATCACCCGTGGAAGGGGAAGGGATAGCGGAACCACTCAAGAACCCAAGCCCAGCATCACGATAACCGCAAGTGGGTCATATCCCAGCATCTCGATAGCTGCAGCTGGGCTAGTATCCCAGCATTGTGACTGCTGCATCTGGACTGGTCTGGAGACAAGCACGCCTCGGCTTTCCCTTGCCCGTCTGTCCATTTATAATCGCTCGCTTTCCTGAGCTGTCTTGTTCACTCATAACCATGGTATTGGCTTCTGTCCACTTGCAGCAAGCTTTCCTTGGCCAGTCTCTGCTCACGATATGGCTGCTGGTGACAGCTTAGCAAAGTTGTCAGATGCTAGATTAGTCCTGATGTTCGGCTCCAGTGATCTCCATGGCCTCACAGAGGGCTGCAGCTTCCCTGGCATTGCGTCCCCTCCAGGGTAGCCCTGCAGACTCCCGCTAAAAACACAGACGCTATTCTACACCTGTTTAGTCTGGTTTGCTTCGCCTTTGCCACTTTCTGATCACAGCTGTGCTGTGCCTCTATTCGCCCACCTCTCTGTCACTCTTCCCAAGCTGAGACGATGGTGGGCTTCGAACTTGTGATCCTCCTGTCCGCCCGAGTTTGGGATCTCGGGTTGCATCACCAGGGTGTTTTTAAACTGCTTTCCTGAAGGTAACTGCTATCGCTGGCCAAGCGAATTTTGCTGTGCGTGATTTGTTAGCTACATCGTCGTGACTTTTTCTAGTATGATATTCATCTTTATTTTACAGAGATTCAATATATTAAATGGTTACAGGGGTAGTGTGTGACAGTTCATTACCTAGGTTGTTGTATTTATATAATCGATAAAAGACCAAATTTGAGTGAGTGCAATGTTGGCACCTACACACTAGACACAGAAACCTGAAAGAAAGGTGGTGCTTTTACTCATTGATTACCCAAATTCAGGCTCTTTTACTCATTAATTACCCAAATTCAGGCTCATTTTAAAAAGCTGCCACCAGGTGGCAGCATTTTGTCATGGTCTGGGACCTAAAAGCTGGGCCCTCACCCAGGCATAAGACATATTCTCTTTATAATTAAAAAACCCAGAGAGCTAGAAGTTTATTGAATCTTTTTAGTAAGAACCTAACTTAACCTTGAATGTAAAGTTCCCCAACTTGGTTTTCTTATTTCTGTTTTTCTTCAAAACCTAGACACATTTTCTGTATTAAACAAGTACTCATAGGAACCAGCTCAGCATGGCCCTCTGATTTCATCTCGCATGGTTCCTAAGGTCCCCTGAGGTGACATCGGCCAGAGACATCAACACAGACCCCAGCTGCAGCGGAACCACAGATCCAGACATGGCCCTTGGTAGCAGCTTGGACCCAGATGACATCCTGGCTACTCAGGTCGGGATGGTTCTGGCAGCCAAATGGCTACAGGGGACCACCAAGGCCGCGGGTTCCAACTCTGGGCTTCTAAGTGATCTTTGATGGCAATGTGGGACTCAGACTTTAGCCCAGATCCCAGCCGAGATAGGACCACGAATCCAGACATGGTCCTTGGCAGCAGCTGCGTCTGGAAGTCACCATTGCTGACCCTAGGAAAGCTGGTCTTGCCTCTCGCTGGACACTGTAGCAAGAGAGCTGACCCCTGCACTCAGGAGAGATGAGCCGATCCCTCACTACAGGCGAGGGTGAACCAACCCTGAGGGTAGGGGGGCTGACTCCAGCTCCTGGCCTGTGGGTGGTGGCTAGGACTGACCAGCTCAATTACCACCCAGGCCCACACCCTACCCCATCTAGGACTCGCTGGAGCTTAGAAGGGACTGGTCCTGACCTCTAAGACTCGGGAGCAGCCTCAAGCTATCCCAGAAGAGATTCCAGTGAGGATCCAGTGACAGTGTGCCGGAGACCAGAGACCTTGAACCAGACCAGTCACTCAGTGCGAAGATTTGCTAGTGAAGCTAGTAAGACAAAAGGGTGTATGTACTATGATACACCGAGGCCCCAATGCCACCAGGATGAGTGAAGAAGTGTTTGGGGAGGTGGGAAAGGAGAAGCGGAGTTTTGTTGTTGTTTGTTTTGTTCTTGTTTATGTTTGTTTGTCTGCTTGCTTTGTTTCCTTGGGGGGGGCACTGCAGGGGTGAGGACTTGGGGGACCAGAGAGATAAGTGGAATTGGGATGCATGTGAAACTCCCAAAGAACCAATAGTTTAAAAAAATAGTAAATCAGAGAAAAATGCAGTTTAAAAGATATACATAAAAATTTAATCTTTTTTGATCATTTTTAAATTTATAGACAATACAAAAAGGAAAAAAAACCTTACCAACTGCAACAGACAAAAATAAGCAGTATTTTAGAGTGTATTTTCCTAGAGATTTATTTTTTTAAATTTTTTTTATATTTGTGTGTATGTCTGTGTTTGCGTGCGTCCATGTTTGTGTATGTCTGTGTTTGTATGCGTCCATGTGTGTGTCTGTCTTTGTTTGCATGTGTCCATGTGCCCAAGGAGGCGAGAAGCTGGCACTGGGGGCTTCAGTAGGAGTGCAATCATGACCAGTAGCTACTACGGCATCTGCCCCACTCCCATAAACCCATTTTAAAATTAGGACCGAAACACAATGATGTTATTAATTAAATTTTGTCTAAAATCTTATACAAGTACTAGGCTTATTCCACAGATCTGCTTAATTAAAAAAAAAAAACCAACTTCCCAAGTTAGCCACACAGTTTCAAATAAACAGCTTTTACAGTTTTTCACACACTCCCTCAGGCTCTGTAAGCCTTTCAGGGCATTGCCTTTCCTTTCCACTTAAAAAGGCAGCATGCGAACATCTGAGTACACAGCCAGCCTCCCAGTGGGGAAGATGAACACACAAGCATCTTACTTTCTGTTTGGGGACGATACCCGTCCCCACCTCTTCTTAGGATGATTAAAAAAAAAAAAAGGCATTTCTCAGCTAAAATGATGGGTAGGAGAGTATAGTTTACACAACAGAAAATAACTGAACTGTCCAGGCACAGATCACAGCGCTATCATTACTACAGCTACAACTGGCCTATCTTTAAGGTTTCTGTTCTGTCACTACCTTAAGGCTACAGCGGACAGACAGCAGGACCACGAGGGAAGGTAATCAATCAGAGGCAGATAATCCAAAGCTAACTCCGGTCCTACTGGGCCAGGGAACTGTGTGATAACGGCAGCGCAGGGAAGAATCCCCTCCCCAATTTCATCCACAGTGAGGCACTCAAGACCAGCCGAGCTGCTTGCAGGCCGTGCAGTGAATGGGCTCTGGGTCCATGGCTGTAAGGAGCGGGCGCCATGTTGTGCGAGTTTTCAGTGATTCAGGTCCCTTTGCATCCTCCTGGGTGCAGCCCCTCCCCCACTGGTGCACAAGTCCTACTTTAGAGTCTGCCCACTGTGGGCTCCAATCCAGGGTGAGGACACCTGATGGTCTCAGTCCCACAACACTGCCCCCTCCTCACACAGCATCTCACAGCAGCGCTGGCTGGCCTGTAACTCCCAGCAATGCTCTTGACTCAGTCTCCAAGTGCTGTTACAGCCCTGAGTCATGCTTGACCTCTTTTTTGGTTCTTGTATCAGCTTATGTAAAAGACAGCTTCTGCTAAAGACTTCAACTTTATTGAATTAAAAAACAAGCAGACAAACAACAAACTTACAATCAATAAAGCAATTAGAGCAAAACCAGTAGCTATATAGGACTAGAATTTAAATAATACAATAAAAAAACCCAACTGCATACTTGGTTTCATCAAGCCTGCCTCTCAGTGCCACCGTCACAGTGCAGACTTACAGGCGACCAGCAGATGCAGAAGAGAGAAGTTCCCATGGGACGTAACAGGTCGTCCCCTTTCCTGCATCCTAGGGACATGGCACGTGCTACCAGAACTAAAGCTCTTCTTTAGAGCGTTGACACAGCAAAGCACTTTAGCAAATTTTCAGTTCTTTCCAGTGGAGCCGAAACCTCCTGAGCCTCTTTCAGTGTCATCCAGTGTCTGAAAGACAAGAGAGGAGAAAGGCACGCCAATCAGTCACAGCTCTCCGGACAACCCGCAAACCGTAGCCTACCCTGTCATCCCACCATAGACAGGAGGAAGGCACACCAACAACCCGCAAACCCTTAGCCTACCCTGTCACCCCCACCATAGACAGGAGGAAGGCACGCCAATCAGTCACAGCTCTCCGGACAACCC